CTTGAGCCAGCCGGCTCAATGAGCCGGCTTGAGCCTGAGCCGAATTTTTGGCTCAGAAACTGGCTGAGTTTTCGGCTAATCCGGCTTGGCTCAGCCATTTAACAACACTAATTATGACAGACATGGTGCTTGAACATATTTAAGACAAATATAATAAAAGCGAGATGCATTTTTTTTGTCTTAAGGCTGATGAGACAAAAGATGCTTCAGGTTGTGAAAACCTGAGCATAATAATTCCCTATATTTTTTCTGGAGAATTAGTTTATATAAAATAAAAATATAATAAATTACTTGTATTGTATATACCTTAATATAAAAGCATGGTAATAATTTATTCCAAACAATTATAAGTAATTTATTTATAAAAATTAAGTAGACATATAGTTGATTTTACTCTATTATATAGAATTAGTTATAAAATACTAGGTAAATTTCCACTTTTACAGACATATTTGACAGTTAGAGAATATATTACAGTCAATAATTTAACAAATTTTACTAATCAATGCTCTTGATATTAAATATAGCAACAATTTGCATTCAATGATTTAACGCCATCTATTTATTATTAGTAAAAATGATATTTAAATTTAAATTTCATATTATTCATCCCACTATGTCTTTAAAAGATATTTTCTGATGTCCTTATCAATATTTTATAGTTATCTGTAAAATAGATTATTCGCTATATAGGTAAAAATTACTTGATTGTCATTTGATAATTAGATATACTGTAAATCTACGACATATAATATTCCACTGTTTGTATTGTGCTTTAATATTTTTTTAACTTATGATTTAATTTTATCAATAGTTTTAAAATTATATTTAACTTTTATTAAGATTAATAAATTAAAATTACTCACTTTATAAAAAATTATATTTGATATATTATATTATTTATTAATTTTATGGATCTATTATTAATAATTATAATACATTTCACTTCTGTCTTAAGACTTATCTTTGGCTTATACTCCATTTATTAAAAAACATTTTTGGTTCATTTTATATATTTATAAATTTATTTTCCCAAAAATCCATAAATTATGATGAATAGTTTTATAAAAAAATATCAACTTTTACATTCTTTCTTTTAACTTATTATTTATGATATATGCATACATATTTGAGGGTCAGGGAGTGGAGGGGAGGACTAAGGGGGATATTTTTTATTAGCTAAAAATGATATTTGCAAAAAGTGATAAATTTGTGAAGGGGATGGGATTTCCCCTTGCCCCCTCCCCCCCCCCCCCCCCCTGGCTACGCCTATGATTCAGCTATAATAATAAGCCAGGCATATGATGGTGCAAATGTTATGTCTGGCCGAAATGGAGGAGTGCAAACACTTCTTCAAAAAAAAATTAATAAAAATGTTTTTTTATACATTGCTACAACCACGAGTTGTGGTTCAAAATTGGTATAATAATATTGTTATTATTTCTAATTTTTTTAATTTATCAAATGCATTGTATAATTTTTTCAGGCGTTTTAACGTATCCTGTAAATATACAGGCCACACCCTTAAGAGACTTTTAGACCAGAGGTGGACTGGTCATTTGGAAACATCTCGCATTATTTATGAGAATTTTGAGGCTATTGGTGAAGTATTATTTTACTTTTCTAATAGAACTCTTAATTCAGAGGTTTCAATTCATGATTCAGTCGAAGCCTCTGGTCTTTTATCTCAATGTATTAATATAAATTACATTATATTAGCCATCATAATTTATGAGATATAAATTACAATAGATCCACTGAATAAGTATCTACAATCAGTAGGTACTAATATAGTGGATGCTAAAAATTGTATTGATTCTACTATCAATATATTAAAAAATAAAAGGAGTGATAATTATTTTGCTTTGATTATGATTAAGGCTGAAAAACTTTTATCAAAATTTAATCTTACTCCCAAAAAATCATCACGGGTACGTAAAACGCCTAAAAATTTCCAAGATTTTTTAGTTGATAGCAAACTAGAATTCGATTGTGAAAAAGACTTCAATTGGAGTTCTTTAAAAAGGATATATTATGAAATTATAGATAACTTTGTGGATCGTTTTTTAAACCGATTTACAGAAGATGATTTTAATCTTTTTTCATCCTTTAATACATTGTCCCCCCTTGACCCTGATTATTTTTTATCATATAAAATGGCCCCATTAAAATCCCTGTTAAACTTAAATATGGAAACACTGCATCATGAAATGAAGATATCAAAAGGATTGCTAGCTTCGGAAGCTAAAGAAAATCATAATTTTGAAAATATCTTACATATTATGTATAAAAATAAATAATTATATAAATGCTACTCAGCAGCGATAATCATTGGGATATCAACGGCTTCTTGTGAGGCCTCGTTCTCTACATTAAAGAGAGTTTTATTGCGCAGTAGAGAGTCTTTGAAGGATAAACGTAAACAAAATTTAGTATTAATGGTGTATGAAAAAAGAATAACGCAAATTTATCTTTTAGTTCATTTATATTAAAATTTAAAAATAAAAATCGCCGTATTCTATTATAGTAATATTTTGTTTTGTGTATGCATATTTTAGTATTATTTTGTTTTGTATATTCATATTATAGTATTATTTTGTTATTAAATTTTTAATAAAAATAGGTAAAAATTTCTATGAATGCGTAATTATTTGTTTGATTTTAAAAAAATAGTGCCCCCCCCCCAAGTAATCACTTGGCATTTCTAAGTGAAAATTCTTGGCTACAGCCTTGATGTTATACAACAAAGGAGTTGGTTGCCAGGTGATCATTCATCTCTCTAATCCCTAGTGATTGATTCATATTGATGTTCAACACTCAATTTGTTCTCACTATTATCATTTCTGGCATGTTTGTCACAGAATGAATGGCCTTCGTTTAATTATGCCGATTTTATTTCAAAGATACTAACAAACCTGACTCAGATAGTAATTAAAAGGGTTGAGTTACGCACTACCCATTATAATGGAGTAGTTGAGGTTAGAAAAAGTGTTATGGATTGATGACGTTAAGTCTTAATTTAAAATTGATATTATATATCTAATGAGGAAAATTAGTGTATCTTATTATTATGTTGCATATTTTCATATGAAAAATATTATATTAGAAACTATTAATTATTTTATTAAATTAAGGAACAGATTGTTACATTGAAAATAATCTTGTATCTTTTTCATTTTCATTTTATTGACAAAAGATACAGACACAGATTCTTTTTAATATTCATGTTTAAAATTTTACATCTCACAGTATATATTATATTTTCTTCGACTTGTATTAATTTCCTTATTTTCTTCTACTTGTATTAATTTCCTTATTTTTTTCCGCTAATATATTGACAGCCAAAAATAAGTAAAAAATTTACAACTCATATTAAGGTAGATAGATAAAAAATAACAAAATCAAAACAAAATAAGTATAGATAATATTTTATATATAAATGTTACTCGATAGAATATCATTACCAAATTTATTATTTTTAATTTGTAGGATGATTAACACTCATGATAGTGAAGAAGAAGGTAATGAAATATAAATTATAGAAATAAGTTCCCCTGAATCATAGCCCAATTTTAAAATTTTATATGGAAATTTTATTTAAAATAAGAGTTAAAAAAGACAATGTACAGGTTTGATTTAAAACCTGTATAAACAAAAAAATGAATAGTTAAACAAATTTTGTTGAACATATTAAAGTATATTATTTATGTGTAGTTAAAAAAGGAATAAGTTAACTTATAAATTCAAGCTTACAATATTGTATACATACCTTTATTAAAAGCTGCCCAAGATGGTATAGGCAAAAGATTTTAAGAAAATATTTTTATATGATTTGAATATAATGAGGCTTTTCTTGGCATCAAATCACTTCCATATTTTAAAAACTATGGATTGAGTTGGATGATTAAAAAAATATCTTCAAAATATATTAATAAAAGAAGCCCTAAATGTAGTAACAATGTATATAATCAAGCTAAAACTATAATACTAATAGATAAAACATCTAATAAAGAAAATTATAATTATTTTTCTTTTGGTGGTGCAAATGTTGCTGAGTTCAATCATACAAATAAAATCAAATTGGAGGTTTTAAATTATATTAAAGAAAGTCGAAATACATTATAAATGCTTTTTATGGAATTTTTTTTAAAATATAATGCAGCAATACCTTCATCAACTCCAATTGAAGAGTTATTTAGTTTTGGCATGTTAAGTACGCCGAAACGGCAAAGGTCTAATGATAAATTATTTGAATTATAAAATAATGAATGTTTTTTAAATACTCTTTTGCGAATTAATATTTCAACTCCCATTAAAAATACTAGTCTCCCTTCTCAATCTATGCTAAGAATGGGTTAATACTAATATTAAAATGCCTGATTATTATAATTAACTCATCAATGTTTTATTTATTATTGTAAATATTCATTCTTATTATATGTGTATGTTATGTTCTTCTCAATTAATTATTAAAAACTGTATTTCATAAAATATTCTAATTTAATTGGCAATGATAATTTAAAAGTATCTTAAGATACTCTAATTAAGCAAAAAATACAAGTATCTTTTATCTTGTATTATTTAAGTGATTTAAATAAATAAAAACTATCAACCATCATTGGATATTTTTTATTCAAACATACTAAATATAACTAAAAATATTTTGAATATTATTATTTTATTTCAAAATTTTTCGTGGTATTTTAATATGTTTATAAAGATTTTTAGCATTTTCAAGTTTACTGAAATTTAATATATATATTTTATTTATCTAAATTATCAATGATTATTTTAGAATATCACAATCAATTAAAATCGTGGTCTTCTTGCCTTTAATATTTTTTAAATATTTTATTGTTTTATTATTTTTTACAATTATATTTAAATTATAATGAATTTATACATTTAAAAAAATAATTATATTATATTTACATAATTGTCATTTTTTTATGTGGAGTTGTTATGGTACTACTAATCGTTTGTTAAAAAAAAATATCGGCGTGAAAAATAAATAATAAAAAATATTTTTCATGCATTAATTCATAATATATTTTCATTATGTTGTATATTATTTAATTTTTATTAAAACGATTACAATCGTGTTAATAATTAACACTTGAAAATTATTCACGAAAAACAATTTAAAAATATATATAATTTTTATTTTTAAAATTCCTGGAAAGAAGGTGAGTGAGCCTGCTTTAATAGTGTGGGGGGCATTTTATATAGTTTAAAAACATAGTATTGTCTGAATGGATAATAAAATTCAAGAATCAGATAATGAGAATATAAAAAGGAATGGGACTATACCTCTGTTACTAAGTGTTGCTACAGTTAATAGTAATATGATAGTTCATTCTAACACTACTACTAAAAAGAGTTACTTTCAAATCACAAGTGTTCATGAAGATATAGCCCCTACCCATGTGCATAATGAAAAATCTGAAGATAATGAAAATTTAGATGAATCCGAAACCAAAGGAGGTTTCACAATAGATAACACTGCCATTAAATATGAAGGCAACATAATTGAGGGTAAATAGAATGCTTTAATATATTTTCATTAAAATATTATTTATTATTAAGATATAATTATAATATTTTTATTTAGTCAGTAAACAGTATCATCAATTACCCATAACCTTTATTGCTCAAATTATATCAACTCAATCAATTTCCCAAATTACATCAAATACCAACAAACAACCTATTGCACCACCTCCTAATATAATAACTATAGTAACCAATTCTCAAACATCATTTTCATCTATAAAACCCTCAGTGCCAAGATTTAAGGTTGTAAAAATACCAAGTCAGATCCCTTATAAAAAAGGTAGATGGATTTGCACAGATGGTACATATATTTCATTGCAATCATCACACACATCTCAAGCTGTAGCATCACAACATATCACAATTGTAATGTCCAGTCTATCAAATGTTCCTTTATCAGTGCTGCCATCTACATCTACTATAAATACTAATGTTAATTTTACACAGGTAAATCAATTTTTAAACATCAACAATACTCTAAAACAGCTGAATAAACTTCCTTCTAACATTACACCTAACACTAATGATCTTAATAGACCTATAACCCCATCATTACTTGGTGCTGTCTTATCAGTCAACAATACTATTCTTATCACAGAAAATACAGATTTTGATAGAAACAGAAGTGTTACTAACAAATTTAGTGCATATATACAAGGGGATCCTTCAATCAATACACTCAATGATAACAAAATTTATAAAAATGCTCAAATCCCCTTAAATGTTATTCATAATGAGCCCTTCAATGTTAAAAACAACCATCTTCATGATTTTAATCAGATAATTAATCAGTCCAATACTGAAAATCAAGGTGGGCTAGGCAAAAATAAGGTATTCCTAGTTACCAATATCAATGACAATGTAAATAATCCATTAGATAAACAATCTATACTTGTATCCCCTACACATGGAAATGAAGATCAAACAGCAGAACTTTTAAAATCTTCAATATCCGATGTAACAAATTTTTTATACCCTGCAAATAGTATGGATATAACTGATAATTCAATCAGCATTGCTATAAACAATGTTAATAATAATAATGATGTAAATTCATTCCCATATTCTCCTAACTCAATCCTTGCCACCTTTGCATCAAATGGTGGTGAAGAAGTACATTGGAAGCATAACAAATTATTTGACGATTCTGTCAACAATGAGAAGTTTTCTGGTAGTTTGGAAGAATTGTAAGATAATTTAAATTTTATATGTGTATTCATTGAAAAATTAATCAATTGAGATCTGTATATATTAATAATGATCCTAGTTAATTATTTTATTTTTTAGAGACATGTAGGCCAGACTTAGTATTGTTAAGTGCCATTTTTAAAAACCGCTAACCCAATATTTTAGCCAAAAATATTATGCAAGCCTGGAGGTTTTAATCATAAATGGCAGAAAGGTTTGGACATCTATTAATGAAATCTTGAAGCTTGCATAATTTTTTGGCACATTTTTAGAAATCTAGCTGTTTAACAACACTAGCTAGACTAAAGAATGGCATAAAAAAATAAAATTTCAAATTTTTTTAAAAAAAGCACTAGCAGCATTTAAAATATTTTTTTATATGAACTAGGCTGAATTAAAAAATATTCATTTGTTTGAATATCAAAATTATGTAATAGCTCATTTATTTATTACTCATTTATTTCCCTTTGAAACACATTACAAAGAATAGTGATAATTATTCATAAAAACCAAATTTTTAAAAATTTTGGCCTGAGCTAGAGGTCTACAATAAACAGGTTTAAACCTGAAAGCCCAACTTTTTAAAAAATAAAAATTTACCCTGGCCATTTGTCTAAAAAATTGTTTAATTAAAATGATAACCCAATTTTTTTATTATTTGATTGTTTGGTTTGGTTTTTATTTTATTTTAATATATTGTAACTTAAACTTATAGAATATCAATATTGTGAAATATAAAAATTATATTTTAATGAATATAAGGTCATTCTATTCATTTTGCCAGAAAAATATTTTAAATTCTCCTGCCTGCTTGCTCATTGTTTTAAAAATAGGTTTACCTGGCATGCTTGCCCAGTGTCTTTTCTCTTCCTGCCCATGTCCATCCATAAAACAAACATTGTGTATATTATTCATTATACCAATCCTAATGGAAACTATAATCTGCTAATTTTATTGAAAATTTTCCAATATCGCAATCTAAAATATACTACCAATATTTTGTTCAAATCTTGTTAAAATAATTTAGCATGTTTTTTCTGTTATATAAAAAGATCATGATTCAATTTTTAAAAATCATGATTTTTGCATAGTCAGTTCCAACATACTAATTCAATTAAATATGATTTTTGCCTATTCAGATTTCAACTTAAGTAAAAATTAAATGCCTAATGTGATTAACAGTTTTTGGCACAAAGGCATCATACACATGTTATATTAGAGAACCTTATTAGTGTAATCAGTTATCATGAAAGCTACATAAATATAAACTAATAATTTATAAGATTTAAGATAATAAAATCAAAATTACCTTCCTAATTATTAGTGTTGTTAGTTTTTTATGAAATATAACTAATTATAGTTAGTAGCTACATTATTTCAAATGTAACTTTAATTTCATATGCAATTAGTTACATTGCAAGTTATTTCTAAATAATTAATATAACTCATTATTTTTTTTATTATACAAAATTTTGGTAAGTCACTGAAACTAGGGAAAGTTTTTAATATTATTTTTCTTTTTATATTAAAATATAATAAATATGCGATCATGTATATTTGTGGAAATTTTTTTTGTGAAAATTTTCACAATTCTTTAATTTTACATTAAAAATGGAGTATATTATTTGAAAATTTTAAAAGGGTGTGTGTTATATTGTATGCTACTAAGTTAGGTATTTAATCAAATACGATAAACAATGATAATATAGATATATAATTTTAAAGAAAAATAAAAATGTCTATATAAATTTATATCATTTAAAAATTTAATTAATTTACTTAAATTTCACATATTTTTAATATTACGAAAATAAGAATATTCACATATATAAACAAAAGGAAGATTTTCTTCCAGTTCTGGGGATGCTAGCCAAGTAATGAATGAGCATATCCATTTTCATTAAGTTTGTTATAACTTGAAAACATATTAAATTTTATGATTTATCAATATTTAATTTACCCCTTATATTTGTCTGTCATGATAGTTGAATCCGTATAGACGTGCTTACTGATTATACCCTGAAGGGTTTCTTTATATCTTTTTCAGTTTCAGCGATAAAAAATTTCCCATCATTTCTTGATATCCCACCTATAATCCAAATGGCATTTGATTTAAAAATCCTCCCTGTGTTATTTTTTCCTTTAAAAATAGATCCATCTATTTCGATCACATGGCAGGGCCCCCTATTTTTCCAAAAGATAATGCCTGTGTATGGGAGCAAATTTTTCAAAATATTGCACCTAAAAAAGTTACTGACAAATTTTACAGATATATTTTACCGTTTTCCAATAGCTTTGTCCCAACCCTATTAAACAAGACTACAACTTACAGAAGTCCTGGACACAAAAAGATATAATAGATGAATAAATTTGTTCACAGGAAGATTAATATTTTAAAATATAGTACCTAATTAATAAAATAAGATTTAAAAATAAGATGCTGCATTTTTTTAAATTTTGATGCTTTTATAACACGGTGATAAATAAGAAGCTCACATGATATTTTAAAAATACCATGGATCTTGTATATGAATTAATGATCTCGGTAAAATTTATGTAATCCATAAAAAAGGGGAAAAAAAAAATTTGAATCATTATTATATCAAAAATTTCCACCGATATCCACACCACACGATCGCATATTTATTATTTTTTAATAAAAAAAATATCAAAAATAAATAAAATAATATTAAAAATTTTTTCTAGTGACTTACCAAATTTTTTTATAAATTTTATTGAAAAAATATATTACATAATCATTCCTGTAGAAATAACACCACAATTATATATTTATATTTGCACCAAAATAATAATATAAATAAACACAATGTAATATTTATTTTATATAAAAATTTGAACTTGATAAGTTTTTATTTGACTTTAACATTAAACTACTTTCAAAATTTTTGTCGAATATCTTTTTTCCAAAAATAAGCCTTCCTAATCCTTAGAATAAACAAACGTTCTACAGGAGTGCTTTATATAAATGAGACAATATTTAATAAGAAATCTTTTTCGAATTTGGGAAATCATCATATAAAAATAATAAATAATTGGTCTGTGCCGATTCACAAATTTTTCTCCTATCCGATATGCCTATCCGATCCGATATTTATATTGATTTTTATTTGCCATCTATCTTTGTCTCAATGCTATCTAAAATATATCAATATTTCCTACTTAAAAAACAAATAAATTTTATGAATTTTATTATATTTATTCTCTAATAGTTATCCCATTTAAAATATTTACAATGTTTATAGGAAATGCAATGTTGTTAAACAACTCCATTTAGCTGATTAAAAAGGGCTAAATCAAAATTTTAGCCAAAATATTATTACCTAAGCCTCAAAATTTTTCCAATAGAAGGCCAAACCTTTCTACCATCTGTGGGCAAAATCAATAAGCTATAATAATTAACTTTTGGCCAAATTCTTAAGTTAACGATTTTTAAATTGGGTTAATCGAACCGTTTAGCAACACTAGCTTAATGTGACTCGTTAGATATTTAAAAATCCATTTCTTGTTGCAGATAATTTAACAAAAAATAGTGTAAAATTTGAAGCTATTTTTTTAAACATTACAATAAATATATTTTATTTTAGTTCCTTTCATTAATTTATTATTATGAAATTCATAAAATGAAAAAATTATATATATAATCATCATAAAATAACCAAAATAAAAAATACCTGATCAGATCGACCGATATTTTTTGAAAACGTTAAGTATCGGTGCCGATCCGATATTTAATATCGACACAGCCCTATAAATAATATATATAATATTTAACATTTTTATAGTTATTCTTTCCCAAAAATGTTATAATTGCTTAAACAACACTTTAAATAAATATGTCACATGGAAAAAAAACGAGACTCTAAATGTCCCGCTATTTAAAATTCTGCAAAAATGTCATAAATCATAAAATTTTTAAGTTGTCAATTTTAACAAATTTTCAATTTATTTATTATTGTTTTATATAGCTGGAAATTTTTTTCATATAATATCAAATTTCTAATCTATTATTTCCCTCTATTTTTTACAAAATAAAAATTTAAATCTGATTGTGATCTAAATATATTCCAAATATTCTATTAAATCCAAGTAGGACTCTGAGAATTAAATACTGTTTCCTAAATGTGATAATGATGTTATTTTTGTAATTTAACCCATAATGACAGTATCTAAATAAATTAACAAATTTTGCCAGCATGCTCTAACTGCTGCTAAAAAAGGTGCATAAAATCAATAACTATGAAATGTTACAAAGATATTCAACAGATTAACAAATAAAAATAAAAAAGCTCAAAAAATTTATATGTTGTAGAATATAAATTTCATAAGGAGCATACCTGCGAGATGGATATCATTTGTACTTGCTAATTTTCTAGCCCTTGATAACTTTTTCTATTATATTCGCCAATTTAAAAAAATATTCTAAGATGAATTAGTCAAAGCATATCTTGCTTAGCAAAAAAACTTGAATTAAGTAATGATAATCAACTTATTAGCAGTAATGTCATCTGACAAACAAAGTCGAAGCATATACAAAAATATCTCGATATTATTTTTCAGTAATAATGATTTATTCCCGTTTTTTTGAAAGAAATGGTTAATTTTATATGAAATCACAGTTGTAGGCATGATATCATGTAGGAGACAGTGACCCCTACACTTTTTGAGGGATAGAAGCAGAATACCCCCCTAAAGTACTCCCCCCCCCATTGTAAATTATTTTTTGACACCAATAAATTTCAAAAATAATTTTTATTGCATCAATATTTATTATAATATAAATATAATGTAAAAAATATATGCTTTAAAAATATTATTTTTAAATTAATAATTTAGATAAATTAGGGGAAGAGAAAGCAAAAGAATTTATAATTTCATCAATATTTAATTGTTTAAATAAATTATTTTCCATTGATAAAATGGTTAAATTATTAAGAAATGGATCTTTCATGACACTACGAAGTCTTGTTTTAATTAGTTTAATTTTACTCATGACCCTTTCGGCAGTACATGATAGTAAGAATAGTTAATAAATATTTATATAAAATTGTTAAATTTGGGAAAGCAGAAAAATTTATAAGCAGACGATAAGGTAAAATAAATGAATAGTTTCTCCAGTCTTAATCATTCATCTCAAAATTATTATCATCATCAGAAGAAGCTAAATAATGTATTAGTAAAAATATTTTAATTAAATAAATTTACAATTCTCAGAATCTGACAAATCTTCTTTAACCTCTAGGTCACTAGTAATAATTACGTCCCCCGTTTTAGCCATTTTATAAATATTTCTAAACATAGTTTATCTATTTATTATATAAATTTTTAAATGATAAATATCTAAACATTTTATATATTTTTTGCAGAGCCACCAGTAATACTCAAGCCATCGATAACAAGATTGAGTTGGCGATGGTAATTCAAAAATTTTTAATTATTTAATATTTAAATCTTAATCTATTTTATACTAATTGTAAAATTCAATGAGCAAATAAATTAATTGGTTAAAACTTAAAAATATGTTATTATCTTTTTCGAATCGACTAATTTTTTTAATATCAAATTTCTGACAGACTCTATATGCCTGGGTCATTCCACGTCAATGAGCAAAAAAAATGAGATTTTCGGCCGACCCCCTACGATTTTTTTAAAATTGGGTAAGCAAAGAAAGGTCAATGTAACTAAGAAATAGCCAAAATTTTAGCCTCCTAACATTTATATTTTTGAAGATATTAGGGTTCAAAGTGGCAAAAATGACGTATTTTTACCATTATCTGCCTTCATTCAATTAAGCATATCTTAAAAACTACATAATTGTAAATAACAAATTTATCAAAATTACGTACAAAGATTCTACTTTTAGATAAATAAAAAATTTTATTTTTTTTCCAACTTCCGGTTATTTTATTTAATATATAAGGACTAAAAACGATTTTTTGGAAATAATACGACCATCAATTTTTTTAAAAAATTTAGTAGACATTATTAAACTCTTCCTTTATATTTATAAAAAAAAATTGGTCTGGGACGCGGCCATCTTCATTCTCAAAATGGATAAAAATGTTTAGAAAAGTGTATAAATATTTTCCCGAAAGGGGGCGTCTTTGTATAAAATTATATATTAATAAGTTTTTAATGGTTTTTCTTGAACTCTTTGATATAATTAAAAGGATTATTCATCTTGTAAGTGAAAATAACAATAAATGGGGCTTTCATTCAATTATAGAAATTGTCTATCGATAAAAGAAATTCAATTTATTACTTTATTTATAATTTATTAAAAAAATTTTTGCCCATATAACATATATTTAATAAATATTAATAAAATATGTTCAATTAAGTTTCGAGTTCTTGAATATATGAATCAGGATCTTGTACATTTCATATATGGCGCCCTAAATATTAAAAAAATTGATATAATTTAAATTTAAACTCACTTTTAAAAGATTCTAATTTTTCGGTAGCGCATGTACTTTCTTGTGACGACAATGTATAGTATAACTACGGCCAGTAGCATTTAACAGTGAAACTAATGTTAAGATATGACATTTGGGCAAGCAAAGAGTGTCGTCTATACTTGGAAATGTAAAGGAATTAGAAGGTCCGGATGGGTGTAGAAACTTTATATATATTTCTTCCTGCTTTTGATTTTTCACTAAAACAAAGCTAACCACCAATTAGAATCATAAGGATACGTTAGGTATCCTGATATTTCTTCAATAATTATACTTTCATCATTATATGATAACTATTCTAAAGTACTTTCTATTGAATTGGAATACATTTTACTTTTAAATTATGTAGATCTGTTGGAATCAAGGTGTGTATTTTGTGTGTTCCAGGTATAGATCTAGTTTTTGAAAATCTTTCCCTGAGTAATAGATCTTCCTAATCATTATTTATTTTGGTCATCTATTCAAAATATATGACATTAATATTTTCTTTAGCTAACTCGTACAATTCATATGATGTGTACTTTGAGTTAGGCCTTGTAAACTAGCTCTAGCGGCTAATCTTTTAACAGTGCCACCAATCCCATCACAAACACTTTTCCCGTGTGCTGTAGCAGAAAAATGCCATTTCGCCTGTACCCCGAAATCCATCTCATGATAGCAAATATTAATAAAATTTTTACGATTTTTATACTGTGCAGCGGATCCACCGGAAAACAAAAAATTTTATTAATTAAAAAATTTAGCAATGTTTTTTTAAAGTTATGTACTGCTATTGTATTGTGTTGCAAAGATTCGGATATCATTACATAATTTAGGCAACAAATATTGGCAAAATTATCTTTATAATATATAACAAAAGGGTGAACAGTGGATTGAGCCCTATTCCAATGATAATTTTGTACTTCATCCTAAAGTATAAATCTATAGTTTTCTTAAAAATCACAAAATTAAATATTGGTCTTCGTCTAAGTTCAATTTTAGATTGTTTTGATACAACGATTGTTGCGTTGAAATAAAAAAATGATAAAGATTCCATTTTTTTAAAAAAGGCATTGATAAATTCACCTACTGGTTTGGTTATTGTTTCAAGAGTGGTTCTATCTACGGATAGCCATTGTTTGTATGTTATAAATTCGATGTCCTTAGAACGAAACAATATTTCTATTTGATCGCGTAAATGTGTTGACCCTAAACAATTATCACATTTGCCCATATAACTGGATGGTTGAGGCGAATTACAAATTATTAAGTGTAAAATATGTTTGTATGTTTTAAAGGGCAACATATCATTGGTTAAATTTGATCCAATGATCATTAATTTAAATTTTGGTGGTAGCTGCAATCACATACATGTGTACCACTACCTTCAACAAGTATAAAATTTTTGGGCGAATGCTTGCGAATTTCGAAAAACCAATTTTAACATCAGGCCTCATTTCTTTAAAAAATATATAAATTTTTTTCAATTATCTAAAATTAATCTCTTATGTATGGTATTCTTTTTTCCGTCTTTGGTCAAAATCGAAACGCAATCTTTCCTGCCTGGCATGATTCTGCTTATTTCGTCCATACAATAAAATTCTTGTACAATTTTAACTGTATATTCGTCTATAGTTTTTCCAGGCTTGGGGTTAGGTGAATCAAAATACCAAGATATTTATTAAAAAATGAATTAATATAGTGAGCATGTGTTATTGAATGATTAAAACCCTTTCGCGCCCGAAATATTTCCCATGAACAAAAAATACTTGTACTTTGATATAATAAAATAATCATTTTGACATTTTGATATAATAAAATAATGATTTTGACAGGTTAATGATAAAATATGAATTAATAAATATTGTTTTATAAATTAATATCTCTAAGTACCAACCATTAGTTTCTTTAAATATAAAAATTAATTGATTAAAAATTTTAATGACAAAGGATCTCGCTGGGCGCGAAAGGGTTAATCAATTTTAAAATTTTTATTTATTTTATTGATTGAAACACTTATTTATTGTTATTCTAATTTAGTAAGGCTATGCCGATTTTAGAAAATCCGATCCAATATTTATATTGTTTTGGGTAATTTTATGATAATACTTTTATTTTGTATATAATTTCATAATAATAATAAATTAATATTTGTAATATTTTAAAAATATCAAATTATTTTAAAAAATTGAGTAGAGAAAATTTTGATATTATTTTTGGCGTCTATGAAATGGATAAGATTCCATATATTCAAGAACTATAAACTTGGTTGAATATATTTTATTAATATTCATTAAATATATGTTATATGGGCAAAAAATTTTATAATAAAGTAATAAATTAAATTTCTTTTATCGATAGACAATTTCTATAATTGAATGAAAGCCCCATTTATTGTTATTTTCACTTACAAGATAAATAATCCTTTAAATTATATCAAATAGTCCAAGAAAAACCATTAAAAACTGATTAATATATAATTTTATACAAAGACGCCCCCTTTCGGGGAAATATTTATACACTTTTCTAAACATTTTTATCCATTTTGAGAATGAAGATGGCCGCGTCCCAGACCAATTTTTTTTTATAAATATAAAGGAAGAGTTATAATGTCTACTAAATTTTGTAAAAAAATTGAAGGTCGTATTATTTCCAAAAAATCGTTTTTAGTCCTTATATATTAAATAAAATGACCTGAAATTGGGAAAAAAAATAAAAAAATTTTTTTATCTAAAAGTAGAATCTTTGTACTTAATTTTGATATTAAATTTGTTATTTACAATTATGTAGTTTTTAAGATATGCTTAATTGAATGAAGGCAGATAATGGTAAAAATACGGCCACTTTGAACCCTAATATCTTCAAAAATATAAATGTTAGGAGGCTAAAATTTTGGCTATTTCTTAGCCTTTCTTTGCTTACCAAATTTTAAAAAAATCGAAGGGGGTCGGCCGAATCGTGTTTGATTTGTCATGGAATGACCCGCCTGCCTTTATTTTTTTTAAAAAAATATTTCATTATTTTGTTATATACTTCATGGATTTCAGAGATGCATCAAGGCCCAATGACTTAAGTTTTTATTTACTCATATCACTGGCTGATATCAAGACGATTTATTATTGTAAAATAAAGATTTTTTTTATAAAAAAATAAACACAAAATTATATTATGTTAATTTTTTAAATTGTTACATGATTTATTTTGTTAAATACGCCACCTTTAGTAAAAGTTTTTATATAAAAAATTATTAAAATAATAATAAATGATTAAATATAAAAATCAAAAGAATTATTCTAATAAAATTTTGATAAAGCATATAATTTTTAAATAGTAAATTGTCGTATCAGCTAATAGGACACAATGTAAAGATATCAGTGTATTTCTCATTAATTTATAAACATGAAAGATCAAAAATATTTATCTCTTTTAATTTGTTGATCTTTACTAAAATACTGGTTTTTATAAATCGAAAATTCCTAAATAGGACTTAGTCAAGAGTCATCTAAGACTCGCCGTCAAATCCGAAATGGATTATTTGAGAGAACGGGTCAAGGATTTAACGGAGATCAACGATAATTTACGCACCGAAAATTCTTTTTTGCGGTCCCATTTCTCAGTCACAGCTGAAGATAACGATAATAACCCTCGAATCGGTGATGATACTTTTACCCCCTTTACCAGTAGTAACGACACATTAACTGGCGAAGAATCCTCCTATCTGCTAAATAAAAAAATGCCTAACAATACATATGTAACATATCTCGAAAACAATAATACAATTTCCGATTCCTATATAAACAAAAATTCCAATTTAATCTCGAGCGAACATTTCGAAAGCGATAACGACAAAAATCAGAATAGCGATCGCTCTTCGATGATGCCCAATCACGTGGCTAATTCTATCGACAACCAAACGAATCAATTAAATCAATCTATCGCTTTCAAAGAATTCGTTGCCGATAAATACCCTCATCGCCCAAATCAAATTGACGATTTTTATTCACAAAAAAACAATACCACTCTCTCCTACTCCTCGGCATATTCGAATCCCATTTCGTCCATCCCCCTAAAACACGTCAACTATTCCAAGATTAAAAATAATAATCATTATCTTTCTACGAAAAAAAATGATATCGGTAATAATAACAATAAAGCTAGCAACCATATGTTAAACGACATTCACTCAAACGAATTTACTAATCATGAATTCAACGAATGATATAACAGTTTCAGGAAAATTTATTTGATAAAATTATGACCAAAATTGCAAAAATATATTTTTAAAAAAATATTCAAGGATACTCCCGACCACATTTTTAAATTAATTAATGTAACATGTAGTTTGCTGATGATTATAGTAATATAATAGTTATGATAGTTATTGAACATGACATGTATTTAAGGGGCCATATATCGCGATCATGTAAAATGATCTAATATAACAACTTGTAAATTCAAAAACGATTTTCAAAATAAATTAAACTGTGAATGAGCTAATCAAATATAAAATATTATTTTAAACTTCTCTTTCTTACAATATATCTTATTTATTCTTTAAGGCATGCTATCACAAAAAGTATTAAAAAGACTCTCTTCAACATTTTGTATTTTTCCACTACAGAATTATGTTACCCACCAAATTACCTTTTCTTTCAGATATAAAACAGACCATAAAACTAATAAATTTATTGTATTCCTTTCCACCACAAAACATTTTTTTAATAAACAGAAATATTCCATATTATTTTAATTCAAATTTTTTTAATGTGATATCTTTTTTTGTTTATTAATTAAAAAAAAATAATATTTTTTATTTCTTAAATTTAAAAATCTTTTAATTTCTTTCTCTCCTCACTTTAGAATATATACTTATTATGATAAAAATAATGTCTAACATAATTTCTGATTTTTCCTTTTTTGTTTTCATTCCTTTCTCATTTATTAATTAATTAAATTTACAAATCTTATTTATCAATCTTATAACATGAACATTACAGAATACTTGAAACTGAAAGTCATGCTATCGATAATTTTTTGGAACTATTCACAGTCATAATTCCCTGTAATTTACTCACTTTATGTGATGTGATTTATAATCAATTATATTATTTAATATCCATTTTTTTATATAACTATTCATTCGAATAATTAAATATATTATATACTATAAATACATTATATATACGATATTGCAGATAAAAATATGAAAAATAAAATAAACCATTATTTCTTTTCTTATTGGTCTAATTTTTGAATAGTTAAGAGATTAGACATCTAATTTAGGTGTATTAAGCTGAGAATAGATGCGTTTATCTATGTAAATTTTTTATACACTATTATTAAATAATACTATTAGATTATACTTCATAAACCTTACATCAATTCTTTTCTTGATTAAATTATAGTCTATGGCACATTTTTCTTGGAAATAATATTAGTTTCTTCCATATGCCTAACCATAAAACCTTAAAACAAATTTTAGATTAGACATGAACTCTTGTAGATTTATTAATTTTTATTCCAATGTAAACTCGTGACAAATTCGCATTAAACAATTTTATTTATACAATAAAACATTATATCAGCATAAATTTAACTGATAAAATTACAATATTTATATATCTAACCTATTGCCATTCTAAAATCGTTCAATACATAATCCAAAGTTTTGAGGGTTTGAGTATCTAACATTGAATTTTCTCTCTCTTTTTTAGAGCTAGATTTATATTCCCGTTTATCGGTAGATTTTTTCCCACTTAAGCCCTCTTTGCCATCAACTATTGCGGTATGATAATTTTTATCTAGACTTTCGGGCATATCATCGTTATCCTTGAAACAGGTGTCTTTTTCTGGATGACTATTGTATTTATCAGGAAATGAAGTGGAAGAAACAGTTTTTGAGATGGACCTTGAACTAAATATCCTATCTTGACTTTCTTTTAGCAGAGTTTTAAAGTATGATTGACCTATTAAACGTTGAGTCGTTCCAAGTTTGTATTGCAATGAGGTAAAACTTTCATCTACCGTAACGTTTTTTGATTTATAAGAAGCGTTAGTCCCAAATTTATCAGTATTTGGTGAACTAAAAGAATTTTCAATCGTCATTTCGCTGTTATTAGCACATATTTTATTATCATACTTATCACCGTTAATAATTGCTGGTGCTACGAAGTCCCCTATACATTTAATAGATTCGTCCTTATTTTTTGCGCTACTGACTATGTTGTTTAGTTTGTAGGACATCATGTATCCTTTGTAGTAATCCAAGTTTTCTTGTTGCAATTTAAGGGTATCATTTTGAGACTCCAAAACTCTTTTTAGATGTTCCTTTTGCTCTTCCAAATATTTGACCTCGCTTCTCAGAGTGTGGCATTCCGACTCGCGAGATTTATATTCTTGATAATGGTCATTCCTTTGTTTTTTACATGCCACTAGCTCCTCCTCAGTCATTTTAAATTTTTCGTTCATTTTTTTTACCCGCAACTCCTTTTCTTTACATTCGATCATCAAACGATCGCGGTCTACTGTAGCATCTCGACAATGCGAATCCAAAACCTTGAATTTATCAACCATTCCTTTCAAACACGTTGATGCCTCTTTGAGGTCGCGCGATTTTTCACTCAGTTCATCCCTTATTTCTTGTAATTCACCTTCGAGCTTACCTATAAGATTGGCCTTCTCTTCCAATGTACTCAAAAGTTTATCTAACCTTTTTTCTAACCCGCAAATTTTTTCTTTCAATCCTCTGTTCACTCTTTTATATTCATCCCTTTCCTGAGCCAGCACGTTTAATTCGGTTTCCTTCATCCTAAATTCGGATTCCCTATTGTGCAATTCTTCCTTCAAATTCTCAACCTTATCGTTCCTGGCATGGCATTCGTATTCTAACTTTGAACATTTAGTTTCATATTTAACTATACGTTGAGTCAAATCCTCCCATCTTCCCAATTTTTCCCTTTCCGTCAGACAATACTTTGATATATCTTTATCTCGGCTGGCTAGCTCTTTCAACAGTAATTCAATCTCTTTTCTTTGCTCTTTAATAACTTTGTGTTCCAAATGATTCATACTTTTTTTGTGACATTTATCGCTTCTGCTAAATTATAACATTTTTTTAAAAAAAATATGTAATATTTAATGATGTAAAACATACTATTGCGTATATGAAATTATATATCATTTATAAATTTTATCTTAATTACTCTATGTATAAATGGCCTATGTAATGTTTGGACGGACTTTTTTTCGGACTATTATTTGATGCCATAAGGACCTATTATTTTCATATATTAACCTTAAAGATCGGATAAAATCAAAAAAATAAATGATAATATTATAAATTTATTATTAAATATATTCAAAATTGAATCGTTTTAAAAAGATACTCTTACTAACACCATTCACTAGGCTTAGAATAATGAATTATATTTTTTTTATAAATTTTATTTTAATAAAACTTGATTTTCTAGTAAGCGGTATATAATCAAAAATTAGAATCTGTACTTGTTCGATTTTTTAAATTAATAGAATAAGTTTTTATATAACTTGAAGGAATATTTTAATAATTCGATATATAACTACTTATTCAGGGTTATGGAATAATTAGATATACATTTTGTAAAAGGAATAAATTTTGAGATAAACTTTATTAAGCTGCATTTATAGTAAATGCGTTATCTTTAAGCGTTGCGTTTATAGTAAATGCGTTATCTTTAAGCGTTGCGTTATTTAAAGTAGACTTCCATTTTTCATATCTAAATTTCATCAACAGCTCACTAAACTTTTCATTAGACGTCTGATCGCGAAGTAGATTTTGAAGAGATTCTTGAAAATCTTAGCTTTAATTTTGACATGATTCCATAATTTTTTAGGAAATGGGAAGGAGAGTTAGATTGAAATACCACATATTACAAATAACCAATCTGCAGTATCTTTGATTGGATTTCAAAAGCAAGTACTCGTTTGAATTATTATATATTTACATGTCATATTATTTTTATTATCCCTAGGTTAGGCCTCCACATCTGATTATATTAGCTAATTAAATCATTAACGTTATCATCAATACAAAATTTTATGGATGCCTAGACAGTTTTAGTCACTCCCTTTTCTAATACCTCATCCCTTAAAAATATCTCTCAAAATGACATTCATAATAGTCAACTTCACTTTGCAATAGTATTTTAAATAAGGATGTTCCCATCCAAATGTATCAAATGAAATTTGGAACTCGTTTATTCCCACCAACGAAATCTAACGATATTATTATGGATATTTTTTGAAACCTAGCATGACTCGGTGATCCTGATTTTTAAAATCGTTTTTAAAAACTTAACCCAACAAACTTAAAAAACTAATATTTCTAACCACACTAAATTCATTGAATCCTCTTTTGGCCATAACATCTCACAATTGGATATTTTTTTATTTCCTACTCAAAATTATATCCAGCAAAAGAATCCTTTAGTTTTTAAAAACTTTTTAAGCATTAGCAGCCATCTTGTTTTTTTATCTCGAATATCAATTATAATTTGGATTTTAATTTATGGAATCTTTATTTAATGATATACCTTTCGGTTAATGTTGGCGCATTAAAAAAAAGTTGAAGATTATTCCTCAATTGTAAATGTATAGAAGCAAAACCAAATAAATAACTTTTTAAACTGTCTAAACAAATCGAAAAATAACCACCTATTTAGCAATGTTGTTAAAAACATTTCTGGAGCCCAGCTACATTTTTTCAAAAAAGCTGGAGGGCCGTTATTTTTCAAAACTCGGGAGCGAGAAAAAAATCTTTTGGGAAGGAGCGAAGGATCGGCAGTTCTCTTGCCTCTTTAATTCTATTGCATAAATTGTTAAAAAATAATCTTAATTAATAAGAAATAATATAAATTTATTTGAATTTATGAAACTATTTAAATATATTGTTATTTAAAAAATTTTAATCGCGCCATTTTTTAAATTCAAATTATAAACTTTTTATAAAAACCATGGGACTATATCTTATTATCAATTGTTACATAAGATATTAAAATAAATGAAAGGAAATTTACATTTCTATATCACAAGAAATATTATACAAAACCATTTACCCTTATCCTTTAGAAGATAGTTTAAAAGTTGATGGCCTGACCATTATTCCTTGGATTCAAGCTAATCATTAATTAGAAGTACAAGTCCTTTAATTTCCCTAAACATCAATGTTACGATTATTTTAAGCAAAACAAAAAAAAATTAGATATTATTTTAGTCAAATCGTTACATCAACCCATTTTTTCCTATATTATTGAGCTTTTTGAAAACTTTAAGACAAAATTAGACTTGAAAATATTTTATATATATGTTAGACTTTATTTCTGAGCAATTATTTACTTCCTGATCATTAAAAATTATAGTAAATTTAAAAAACGTATTTTGAAACTATATCACCTGGCTGACGCTTCGAGAGGCATGATCGCGCGTACTATATAAATCAGATTTGCTTGGTATTAGCATTGTAGGCCAAATTTTAAACTTTTTTTTTGTAATTCAACATTAAGTGGAAACTTTAAATAAAAACAGATTTTTTCTTTTTTCCCGAAAAAATCCACTAACTTTTTATATCACAATGGTACAACATCTATAATGTCATAATATAAAAGCCTTTGCTAGTTAAATATTTTAAATTATTTGAACGATACTAATGTGTGCTTCCAAGGTTAATGATTTTTTGTTTTTATTAATACATTATATATAACGTCGTAGATTATCCTTATAAAATCGCTGTTTTGTATAGGTTCAGACTTTAGAGATCTAGATTGAGGAATTACTAAAAGCTTCGAGATCCGCTATTTTTGAAAAAATAGTAAATGCTTATTTGTGTGGTGGGGGGGGGGGGTTAGTTATCCATAGTTAATTTAAGTAGAACGGCATTGATTATATTTTACTATAATCGAATTTTAAATATTGGAAATATTAATAGATCAATATAGGTATTATTTTGAAAAATACATATTTGATTAAATATGGAATTCAAAATTCTTAAGCCGATGCTGATATATTTGAATTAGAGGTGGGCACAAGTCGACCCAACCCTAACCAGCCCATTGAATCTTTTCAAAAGGTTTTAGGGTATGGAACGTAAAAAAAATTGATACAAATTGTCCAGCCCATCTGAAAATCTTTTTGCAGGCCCTATCGTGTAATTAGACGTCAGTCTACATAAACAATGTTTTATAATTAGGAGTGAATATAGAAATTTGGAAGACTATGGGTTTCAAAAAATTAGCTGACTCCCAAAATAAGAATCAGCGCTGATTTAATTCATATCATATAACATTTCTATATTTAAACCCTTTAAAACATGTTTGCATTAAGGGTGAAAAAATTCCGAGGGATTCTCTTTAATATGAATTGATGAATGAAAAAAAATTTTTTTTTTATTTTGGTCATAATATGTTATAAGTCACAAAACGTATATAATCAAACAATTTATTGTATTTTATATCTTGGTATAAAATAAAATAATTTTTATTCCCGTTGAAACAAAGTGCACGGCATTTCACGTATCGCTATTATATAGTGGGTTTTCACTCTGGAAAATGGACAACTTGATCTGTACGAATATTAATTGAAGGTAGCCCTCGCCCCCTTCTTTTTATCTTACTACAATCATATATACTGAATAAATATCTACCTTCTGTTGCGACAATAGAAGTATGATGACGTTTCAATGCTATTAAGGCTATGGCACATCAATGTGGCTCTTAGCGAAATTCGGATAGACAAAAAACATGAGTTATCATGAGATTTGGCTTTCTCACCTTGAATGTGTCGATATACTAAACATCAATTTACAACTGCGACATAAGTATAGTGTTGGAAGATTCTTATATACAATTTTTGGAACTGGTTGTTTATACCTTCCATATGTTTGATATATTGTTTGAAATACAAATGGAATACTAAATTGATGGTTTTGTGGTTATATCTTTCAACATCACTGAGGTAATATTCCATAAAAAGTTACTGTTTATTATCATTCCATGATTGAGAATGTTATATTTATCCTTTCATGTTTTCCATATCTGTACGAAGACTGAAAACCTATTATATTTGTTGAATATGTTGATCGATGTCATTTTATTATTTATTTTGGCAATTGATTTATTTTTTTATATATCAATTTGTATTTAAATTTAATCGGTGAAAATTTTATATTAACATTTTTTTATACATCAATTTGTATTAGTTATTTATTTTTTTTTAAAAAGATATATAAAGAGAAATTGTTTTTGTTAAAAGGGGAATAAAAAAATGTAATTTATCTTTGAAAATAAAAATGTAATATATCATATAATAAAATTTAAATTATGATTAATAATAAAATGATAATCAATGAAAAATGTGAAATAATTATCTATGATAAAACGTGGAAATAATACAATTTTAAATTTTTCCTTCTTTTTGCCAAATATTTCAAAAGATGTACAGTAATTGTTACAAACAATATTGTTAGATGCTCCTAAATCGGGTTCAGTCGGTTTATATGATTAGATCATATGCAAATCCAGAATCGTGACAAAGAAAAAAGAATTTGAAGCCCCATAAGTTACAAGATATAAGATTCTTTCTAAATAAGAGTGTCTTAAATACAATATACTTTCTATAAGATGATTATTTACCTATTAAATTGGAATAGTTAAGTATAAAATAACATTTTATATATTTCGTACTTAATTTAGTTCTTTTGATAACTTAGAACTACTAAATTTAAGAAATTATCATTCAAAAATATGATAAATATTGGTAGGGTAAATGAAAAGCATTACCTGGCCAGACAAAGTAGTCCATTGAATTTTAGATAATTTTTAGGGATATGTAAAAAAATTTCGTACCATATAAGTCTGCCTATTTATAATAGTTTAATTGTTTTATGTTGCTAAATTATCATACTCATTAGCATCATCTTCCTCTAAAAACTATCATCAGAATAATAATTACCAAAGGAGGAAATCATATTTGTCACTAATTGGCTACATACAAATATATACGAATGAAAAGGAATATTTAATTTCTCTATTTTATATATTTTCTAAATAGTATCAGAGCTTAATATAAAAATTACAATTTTAAAATGTAGACAACAGCTAACTTTGAATACTCGCCCTTGAAGTAAATGTAGAAATTTTTAATTAAAAGGAATGTTATTTATAAGAGACAATCAAATTTTCGCGCCAAAATTAATTTGAATAATTAGTAGATATTTGTAAAAAGGGTTATTATAAATATATATTTTTTATTTTAGAGGGGTGGCCCAAAATGAACCAGGATCATATGTATCAATAAAAATAATTTTAAATATTGTTTATTAAGTAATCTTTGAATCATAATAATTTGGCTAGAGTAAGAATGTGTTAAACAATAATAATCATAGTCAAAAATTATATAATTAATTATCACAATTCACAATTAAATTGGCTAATTTTAAAATTAATATCTTTTTAAGGTATGTATAGTTAAAATGTATATATAATTAACAGACATTCGTATAATTCAATAAATGGTTTAATTTATTAATTTTACAGGAGTATTTTGATCAAAATACAAATAACTACTAGATCTATTGTAATCAATAATTCAATTTACTACTTATAAATATGAATTAAGTCAAAAAATAGAAAAATAAGGAGTGGAAATAATAGGAATAAAAGGAAACCAGAATTACAAAGAAATTAAATTTTTTTATTAATTTGTGTTTTTCAGTCAACTTCCATTTTTTTAGTGTTTTCGGTTTTTTTGTTAGCTTCATCATTCATTTCTACATTTTTATCAGAACTGATCTCATTTTTACTGGATTCGGAAACACTGTTTTTCTTATTTTTTTCATTAAAAGCTTGTTGCAATTTTTGCAAGACAGGGAAGCACGTTGATTCGAGTTTCTTTATGATTTTTTGTAGTATAAAAAATAAATTAAATGAGAAACACCCTTTCTCTCGCATTTCACTATTAGTAACTATCAAGTAGAGAATGGAAACGGTCCGTCCTGGTCCAGTCTTTTTAGGGAGAGGTGCGTCTTTGGACTAGTATTGTTAAATGGCTCAATTTCAACACGATATTTTAACCAAAAAATATTATACAAGCTTGAAAATTTTGCGATATTTATTAACAAAATTTCGAGGCCTGGTATTATTTTGGCTAAAATCTTTTTAAAATCAGCGAAATGGAGTCACTTAACAACACTGTTCTGAAGGACCAGTTTTTGGGAGATTTATTGGTCATAATATATTTACCTAATTACCATATCTATATATATATTATTAAGATAATATCTTGGTCTACCCGGGTAAATCTGGAAATTGCCATAAAACGGAGAAGAAGAAGATTAAGATAATATCTTAATGTTACAACAATTTTTAACTTTTAAATCTTAATTTTCATATCTTCATAATACATTACAATTTAAGAAGACTATAATGTTAATTTTATGTTATTTTTGAAATACATTTTATTTTTTGACTATTTCGGAGTCTGTTTTAAAATAAAATTTATATCTAATTTTTTTGCATTCGATTCGAATGTGATGGCATTATTTTATTTTTGTTAATCTTATAGCTTAAATAAGGTTGTATTGCAATTTTTGTTTAAAATTTAATGACTACCATGAATTATCATATAAAATATACTAGCTGTCAAGGAAGGGCGGGTTAATGAAATTCCCCTTTTATTTTATGAGGTAATAAGGAAATGCACCTATATTTGGATGGGTGACTTCAAAATTTTCCGTTATTTTAAAATTAATGTTAGTATATAAACTATAATAATTTGAAGATGTTTGTAAATAAGGTTATTTGATATTAATTTTCGATTTTTATTGCCCTAAAATCAAAATTTTTATTATGAAATGGATATTGTTAAAATATTTTTTATTTCTACTTCATATATAAAGAGAAAATTTCTGATTAGCCCATCATCAAATAGATAGAATATCTCTGAATATTTGATATCTCCTAGTTTTAATACAATTTGCACATTTAATATATAAGTAAAAAATCGGTCTTTCTTTGTCTAAGGACAGGCGGATTTTTCGAACGAATTATGGAGTATGGGCAGTTCTTTTAAAACCAAGGACAAACCATTTTTTAGGAGTTTTAAGAAAAACTGGGATTGCTGTCTGAGTCCAGACAAATATTTCCTATTAGCTACTGTCATGGTTTTATGAAAATTCACATTCAAAACGCAATTGAGACTATTTTTCTTGAATTTCTGTGTGGGAGGAGGGTGCTGGTTGATTTTTTTTTATAATATATCTTTGATATTTACTTGTATCTCCACCTTGATAGCGTCGACCCCAATACCGGGATCTTTATCCTTGGGAGTCTGAGACAATTTTTTTCCGGCGATTTCAATCCAGTCCTTAGTACATTTCAGGGTTCGATCGACTTTTTCAAAATCGTCTGCCATTTTTGCTTTTAAATCATGGGCCCCTCCATCTTGAAAAAATTTCCCTAACGATTGAGTTATATGGTCGTAGCATGCATTAATTCGGTCAAGGCCTTGGAACCTTTCTTGGTAAGTCTTATAACGAATTAATATGGGGTCGGAACATTTCTAATCGAAAAAATATATCGAAACACAATTAAAAAAATGGAATGGACTAGTTAATTATTAATAAAGAGAATAGTGGAAGATAAATGATTTAAAGGTTAGGTGATATAATATTAGTTAGCAGAGCAACCATTAATTTGGTTTATGAATTTGATAAAAATAATCAAGGAAGTAATATTAAAAATTGAAGAAGAAAGTTAGAAAAATAAAAAAACCTTTAACGATTCTAATTTATCGACGTAAGTTTGCTTTTTAACATCCTCACCTTCTCCATAGAGCCAGTCTTCAGTATCAGTCAAAATTTTGGATATATCTTGCTTTTCCTGACAATTTCGCAAATATTATTATAGATATTTTTAAAAAGCTACCACCAGTGTAAAATTTCGATTCAATTATTTTATTCACAATAACATACATTTTCAGTAGCGAACTCGCTCCAACTGTCTCCTATTTTATCCCTTGTTTCATAGACGAATTCTTCTAGAGCATTTTTAGCGTCTGCCCGGGCCTTCTCAGCCCTGTCCCGTGCCAACATCGAACACTCGACTTCTTTCAGGTGCTCCACGTATTTTTGATCCATAAAGGGAGAACGGTTTTGCGCCTCCACTGAAATTTCTTGCTGCTGATGATTGGATTTGTGGGAAGTTTTGAGGGGGGATTGAGGTTCCTAATAGGTGTAATATTATATATCCTGACTCCTTTTTAAATAAATTATTATTTACAAATGTGCTTTAATACCATTTTTTTGACCGATCTAATATTATATATCCCTGATTTCTTTATAATTAAATTATCATTTATAGAGGTACTTTAATACCACTTTTTTGATAGATCAGAGGCCAAGAAACGACAATTTACCATAAATGCTATCCTAAAATACTCAATTTTTCTAGTGTTTTGAAAAAAATTTTTATTATTTAAGCATGGTATGGTACAAGGTTTAAATCAACCCAGCTTCAAATTTAGGTAATTAAATCGACCAGCGATCGGAACCATTTTTAAAATGAATGAAAGTTAGCAGAGGTTAAATTGATTTTATAGTTTATAAAAATCCAAATTTTAATGCTTTAGAGCTCAAATATATCTCGAGTTATGGACTTTCAATGTTAGATGAGATCCTCTTTTAACGAATCTTAAAATACTAAAATATTTTTAGTCTAAATAACAATTTTTATATCATTTGTAGCCAAAATTCTCTTTGAGAAAATGCAAAAATTATTTTGAAAAGAGCCCCATTTAAAATGATGAGACTCATGAAATGTGTTTATTACCAAAATATTTATATATTAAGTAACAATATTAATGGAGAAAATAAGAATTTAAATTTTGTTTAATTTTTAGTTCTAGGAATAGAAAAATCCATCATAAAGCGCCTTTGAAACGATGATACTCATCAAATATGTTTATAGTTAATATATTTAAAATATTAATGAAGAAAATAAGAATTAAATTTTATAATTTTAGGAATAAAAAAACAATTATAGAGGGCGCTATTTATAAAGATAATTATAATATATTTTCTTTTTATTAGAGTATAAAAATAAGTATTTTATAAAAATTTCCATCGTATATAATAATTTATGTAAATGTTAATGGTTATTTATAATATAAAATGTATATTTTTTAATAAAATATATTATAATTAATTTAAAAATAGCGCCCCATATAACTGATATATTTGTTCCTAAAATATAAAACCTAAATATAATTTAAACTCTTATTTCCTCCATTAACTATTTAAATAATTAGCTATAAACCAATGACATTTATAATACCTAGACTGACGATTCATTTATTAAAAGTGTACATCAATGTAAATCAGCTGGAGACGCCATCTTGGGTACACTAAACATTATTGAAATTTTTAACGAGAGCCTAATTTATTCCTATATTTGATGCAAACTTTATTAAAGAATTACCGGATCATCGAGGTAATAAGGAAGCAAGTTATCAATTTGATAGTAGTTTTTAACATGAAAATAATTACTATATGTGTCACCAAAATGGCGGGTCCAGCTGATTTGCTTTTAACGACGCTTAAAAATTTATTTTAATGAAAGAATCGTCAGTCTAGGTATTATATATGTCATTGCTATAAACATATTTGATGAGTTTCATCGTTTCAAACGTTTTTCTATTCCTAAAACTATAAAAAATTAAACAATATTTAAATTCCTATTTTCTCCTTTAATATTTTTATTTAAATATATTGATAATAAACACATTTCATGAGTTTCATCATTTTAAATGGGGCACTTTTAAAATAATTTTTTTGTTTTACCGATACGGCATTGAAGATATTTTTAAAATAATTATTACATTTTCATTCTTAAGGAGTATTTTAAGGTTCGTTAAGAGGAAAAGGCTCTTATCGAACTTTGAAGGCCCATACCATAACTCGGGATATATTGAGCTAGGGCATTAAAATCTGGATTTGTATAAAGTATAAAATCTATTAAACCTATATGCCAAGTTTCATTCATTTTAAAAATGGTCGTCCAAAAATCACATTATTTTGGTCGATTTGTCATGAAATTATCCTTGAATGATTAATAAATAGTTTGATATTTTATAAAAAATATATATCGCAATATAAGTCATCCACAAAATAAAAGAAAATTTTAATAAATTCATTAAAAAATAGCATAAAGAGAGATAATTATGTAATATAAATATTTTCAAAACAATTGACTAAAAAATATTGTAATGGATATTTTTTCTCTATATTCGTGAATAAGTCAAATGATATCCATTACAATATTTTTATAATTAATTTCATTTCTTTTTAATAAAAATTTATTTTAAATAAGCATGACAACTTTTTTAAATGTTATCCTAATTAAGAGAGAGTTAACATGAAATAAATCAAAATTATAGAAAATTCAATAAAGGGGTATTGATATCTACTTGAATATATTGCTTTACATCTTTCTTATATTTTCTTGTTTTCTCTATATTCCTTCCTTGCTTAGACTTCTTTTATTAGCTCAATACCTCAAATTATAAATCCTGAAATAAATCATTTTTTAAACTAACATTTTCCGTCTTAGTTTCTTCATTCTGACATTTCTTTTCGGCATTTTCCTTCTCTTCTTTCCTGGTTTCTTTAATAGAATCAGCCAATGTTACGGCATTGCAATTAACGATCCTGAATAATCCACTGGCATCTATCCTAACCTTAACTTTAATCTTTTTGGGGTTAGCCTTTTTAGACTGGTCTAAGAGAATCTTGTATTGGCCTTCAATATATAAATAAATTAAAGAAAATAGAATATAAATTTTTATAAAAAACATATATAATAATCAATCTGTCTGTCTATACTTTATCTATTATTTCTTACTTTGTTTTTCATTAGTTGTATATTTTGTCACTATAAGCATTATAAGAAAATGTAACCTATGATGGGATCCCCTATAGGTATATTATTGGGGTAGGTATACCTAGCCTCTATGACGAAAGGTTCCTCTTTGTAAAAAGTGACCACTTTGGAATAAGGAATTTCTTGGTACCTGGGAAATATTTCTAAATGCCTTTTTTTTGTAATTTTTTTTAAATAAGGAATATAAAAAAAATGTTTTTTAAAAATCTTTATCAAAAATTTTTAATTTTGCTTTAAAATTGATTAAACTAATCAATCAGTCAAATTTATATTTAAAATAATAATAATATGGCCATACTGTAAAAATATATTAATATCATTTTAGCTGACAAAATATATTTTATAACCAACATTAATAGTAGCATATGTGTCATAATGGGAAACAATTTTTTATTCAAATCCCCATGTTTTTTAATAAAATATCTGCTAGATTATTAAGAATTGGAATAATTACCAGTTAAACATTAATGATATTTATTATTTTAAAAATTTAAAAAAATTAATATTAAAGAATAATTTATATATCTATATCTAAAATTCATTTGTAAAATTTTGATTAACACCTTTTAGTTAAGAACCAAATAAAAAGTATAAAAAATAGTATTTATATTTTATTTGGCTATATATTTGTGAGAAAGATAGCGCTAAACCTTTATTAAAATGTTTAATAAATATAGTTAGATCAGATATTAATTTTTGATTAGTAGGCCCATGTTAAAGACCTTTTATGAGGGTAGTTTGAAAAGTGTCAATTTCCTTAACTCCGCGAGTGGGAAAGTCAAATTTTTTAGACAACTTGATTTTGAACTGGGTAAAAAGATTTGGTTAGCTTAAAAATTTTAACTTTTCCCTCTCGTAGTAAAAAAAATTAGCACTATTCAATTTAAACTACTCTCAAAAGTATTGCAATACTCACATACCACCCAAAACAAATCCAAAATTGATTTGCTTAAAAATTTATTTTTTTCCCTCGTGATGTAAATAAGCCCTATGAATTTCCAACTATCCCAAAAGATTTTGTATATATCCGGCTAAACAAAATTTATTAAAATGTTTTACATTTTAAAAGAGCTTTAGCGCCAATTTGCGTTAAAATTTTTATAGCCAAATAAAATAATATAAAAACATTTTCTATTTATTTGGTTTAAAGCAAAAAGATTTTAATCAAAATTTTGCAAATGATTTTTAGATAAAAATTGTTCTATATTATTCATTTTTCTAATTTTATTTTTAAAATAATAATTTAAGAATAATTTTTAAATAAAATATGTTCACATCTATAATAACTAACAATTTATTCATTCAAAAATTGAAGGCGAGATATATTTTTATAATTTTCTCGAATCAATAATGACTAGATCTGTGTGCCATACATTTTTATAATTTTCTCGAATCAATAATGACTAGATCTGTGTGCCATACAGCTGACCAATTTTAGACATTTCTAGAATATTCTTAGTTTAGCAAAGGATGAGATTATGTTTAATCATTTTTAAATAATTTTTTTTTTATTAATTCATCAAGATCGCGAGTAAAATTATGTATGTAATACAAAATAAGAATAAAAATATATAATTAATTTATGAAAAAAATAAGATGTTATCTTTGTTTTTATATTTGGTACAATATGTTTGATTAGCATGAGTTTGATAATGATATCTTTGGATTTAATATGGTGAGCAGTTCCCCTTTAGAAATATTAAACCTTTTAGCACATTCTCTTTTGAGTATGTTAAAAATTTCATATCTATATGGTTCCCCTTTTTAGATCAATTTGTGTTTTTTGTAAGCTAGTTTTCGTCTTACTTTCATTTTTAATCAGTAAGAAGGAAGATACTAATTAAGATATTTATTAAGTTAAAAATAGTGTAATATAAGATTTATAAAGAACATATTTGTAAAATTCGTCAATTATAGTAACTTTAAACACCCTTTTCCCCAATAGGGCATCATCTTCCTGTATAACTTTAAATTGGCCTAATATCAACAAGCATTGCTGTTCTAATTTACCGTCCATCTTTATTTAATAATGATTTTCGAGCTAATTTTGTCAGATAATCAGCAGAAATCGAAGGCGTATTGAATTGTCTTCTTTATTCGCGATAGTATTAAAGAAGCTTTAAGTATCACTAAAAATTGTATTAAGTTTAATAAAATTGCATAAAATAACCTAAAATAATTTTCAACTTTTAGAATCTTGTCCCAGTATTGTCGAAGAATTTTAAAAAATAAACAATAGTTACCCAAGCATAATAATAATAGAATGTAAAAAATAAAAATATGCAATGTCTCTATTCTATAATGGGAAGCCTATGGTAAATTCATTCAGAATATATCCAAAATAGGCCTAGGGCAGGCGGCTTTTGTAGAAGGAAGGAATTCTACCGTTAAAAGTTTAATAATTGGAATAATTCTAAATCCCGATTGTTATCAAAAAAAGTTTATTTATTTTATTAAGTACTGTATCTTATGTTTTTTTATTTACTCCAGTAATACATTCCTGCATGATAAACACAGGGAAATTAAATTTTAACGTTTTTGTATTTTTTAAAATTGATCTGTAGGTTTATAATTTATATTATCACATCAAAATAATTACACTGATAAGAATTAGAAAAGTCAATATTAAGAGTTCACACTATAAGATTCTCCATTAATAAAACTTTTTGATACCATCGACAATTATTAAATTATGGGGTACCATTTGTATTTACTTATTTTTTAGATGAAATCCAATATCGTGAAAGATAGTTTTGCTGTGCATATTTTGATCGAATAATTGATTTAATAGCTAAAATATAATTTAAACAAATTGGTGTACCTACTTCCACATTGAACAATTATTTTAAAAATAAATTCATTTTTCCATTAAAACAATTTCCAATCAAAATAAATATTAATATATAAAATATAAATTAATAGGAAAATAAATCGATATTCCTCCTTTTTTGCTACTTATAAACAAGGATGACCACAATGAATATAATCCAGTGATAAAGTACCTTTCTTACTTATATTTCTTCAAAATTAGATTTCCAAGACCTCTCCAAACATAACTAAATAATTTTAGTCATATAGAGAGAAAATATTTCAGTTTTATAAGTCAGCCCATACAAGATAGCTAAGTTAACAAAATAGAATGCGTTAATGAATTATGTACAATATTTTAATATTATGGTATCAATTTCAAATGAAAATATAATATGTATGAACATTTACTAATCTTATGAATATATCAATATTTACAATTTTTTGCACCACAGGTAGGCTTGGCAGTGTGCTCGGCCAACTGGCGGCGAGAGGCCAACTTTCCCTGGCAGCGATGTGAGTCAGGGTCACGCAGGTCTCAAGCACAAAACCAAATATTACTAATTAAAATATTAACTAACCCATCGTCCTTCCCAGTCGCTTTCCATATGAGGGAGATAGGGTATGGCTGGGCATCGCATAGGGCTATGTCTTTTACTTTGAAAGTTGGTGATAGCATTGCACACTTTTAATAAAATAAATATGCCATTTTTATGTATTATAAATAATTTAAACGATAGTTAAAAAAATATTCCATTATTTTTATCCAAAGTTGTGAATTTTTATAAAAATAGCTGTATCTATACAAGGGCTGAGCCGATATTAAATATCGGATCGGTATCGATATTTTTTAAAAACCGATGATGATATTGTTTATTATTTTGGGTAATTATATAATTTTATTTATTTATAAATAATTTCATAATAATAATGAAACTAAAATACAATTTATTTGTTGTATGGTTTAAAAACAGTTAAAAATTTTACACTATTTTTTGTTATACTATCTGTAAACGGGAAAAAGGATTTAAAAATATCTAACGAGCCACATTCAGCTAGTGTTGTTAAATTCAAATATGGAGCTGTTTAACAACACTACATTTACCCATAAATTTGCAAATATTTTAAATGAGTTTATGAACTTTTGGAATAAATATCGGATTGGTTTTTTCGTAATATAGAAAAATAACTGATTGGCGAAAAATCTATGGATCGTCACTGCCCTAATCTATACCAATTGTTAAATATATTTTGATACAACTTTATTTTATGTTAATTATTATATTAAAAATATTTAATTCTATTTTTTGTATTATATTAATGACTTTTTTAATTTTAAGATGATTACAATTTATAATATAAAAATAAAGTATAACTTTAAAAAAATAAATAAAAAGAATATATTTTAAAATAATAAATCTGTTTAAAAAACGTGATAGGTAATGGCACCGTGGATTGATATGCTATGTAAACTACATATTTTCATAATTCGTTGACGTAGGTAAAAACCTTACTTCACTCGAAATTAATCACATTTTTGGCGAAGTGCTTTGAAGAAATCACGGGCTCTGGAGTGTCAGAAACATTGGGGATTAAAGTGTAATTAGGAATTTTAATATATATATTAATTTTTATAATCCTCGAATTGGAGCTAAAGGATAGTGCAAAGCGATCAACGCATATATAATCCTAGGCTAACGGGATTCCGTTGCTCCGTGGAATGAGTGTCATTCAGTCAAGCCTAATAGTGTCCTCGAAATTAAGATAATTAAATTTACTGGTTAGTGGCGTAGATGGCGACCTTTTGAGAAGCAGCAATGAAGAGGGTCATGGTCTAAACTGTCGACAAGGAGATGACAGAGTTTGCAAGATGAGAGTGTAAAGATATCACAGTAAGCTTACTTACAAGGGAAATATTATTTTACACCATGAATAACCAAAAAATTCCTAATCTAAAGATATAACATTTGAGTTTATAAATATGTCTTGATAAATATACAAATTTTGATAGTTGAACTATAAATAATTTTTTTTTTATTTTATTATTATCCTAATATAAGTGTTATACATAAAGTATAGTACAACACTACCTTCCAGTTTGCGGTTTTATCTAGTGTGGCTAAAAATGTGTTCAAAATCGGAGCTGACTCATTGATCAAAACTTTATAACCGTTTTAAAAAACAATATTTATAATCATTTTTGAACATATAATTTTAGAAGGATAATTGGCATCAATGTTAAAATACACAAATTTTTAAAAAATCTAGTTATTGCTAATAAAAATAAATCATTACAGGCTATATTTTATATAATAAATAAAATATTAAACTAAATATAAAAAAAATGACTGGTTCACTTCAAGATTCGGTTTTAAGATAGATTTTAAATTGTCATTATGTATACCTTACATATTATAATAAAAAATTGTATCTTAGGAAAATATATACATATCTAGATACTTTTTAAGCTATGAAATCTCATCTAGATTGAACAATATCTTTGATTTAGATATATTTTACCGATCAAACTGAAATAATCTTTTTCTGTTGGAGCCCTTAACCAAATCTGCTTTTGTAGGTCCATTACAACAAAAATTTTATGCGACCTTGTCTGCCCAAATTACTTTAAACGGATTCATAAAGATCCATAAATGGAAAGGTTATGTTTTCTTTTAACTTTTCTTTAATTCCTTTATATTAATTATCCCTAATTTTTTTTCATTATGTATAAGAATATGTCTTCTTGTAATATTAGCAAATAAACGTAAGGACAAAGTTAGAGGACGGATTAATAAAGAAATAAGTTCAATTAGGAATAGAAATGGGGACAAAAAAATCGGGGATCCTAAAGGAATTAAGGATCGTAAAGATATATTTTTAAAGAAAAAACTAATTGAAATTGTAAATAGTGAAATGGATAATATAAAAATATTTTAAAGTTCTTGAGGTAATGGGGAAAGTGTAAGGGAAAAGGCTAAGGATATTATATGACAAAACAGATGAGAAAATACATATAGAAATTGACTACCGAAAAGGGTTTAACTCTGTTAAATCTTTAGTTTAAAATTTTATATTACTTGTATAGCACACCCATTAGCAACAGCTTCGTCTGTATTGAGAGAAGTCAGTGGCTCTTTGCCAAAAATAGATTTTATGACAGATTTTATGGCAGGAACTCGAGTAGAGCCTCCTACAGTTTCTATCCTCTCTATTTGAGATGGATTGAGACCTTTTTTGTTAATTTTATAAATTATTTATTATATTATAAATATTAAGTTTTAATTTTTAATAATTTGTATGAAATCTATATACCTGTCTCTTTTAAGAGGTCTTTCAGTGTGGCTTCAACACGAATAAGTATGGATTTAATCATTTCATCAAACTCAGATCTAAAACAAAAAGTATTATATGTTTATGTATTGTCAGAGTGAAAAGGTTTCTCAGCCCGACTTGTAAATTAAGTCGTGCCCAGCCTAGCATTTTTAACTTGCCTAATTCTAGGCCTAAAAAATCTGTGAACAGGTCAGGCAAAAAATTTTGAATTTGGTTGTGCTAATTCAGTTTATTTTTTATCTAAAAAATATAAAAAAAGGAAAAAATGAAAATAAATCTATGAAAGAAATAAATGGCACAAAAGATAATACATTTATTTATATTCATCTTGAAGGATTTAAAACTCAATTTTTAAAAATAAGGAAAAACTTCATTAAGTATTTTTTTAAAGAATTTAAACCTCTGTACTTTCGCAGTTACGTCCAGATCCTCTTTAACGAAGGACTCCAAGCTCAAGGGTATAGGAGTGGAATTAGCACTCATAAGCTTTTTTACCTTGCCACACTCTTCTATGAGCCTGGCCTGTGATCGGGGGTCTAATTTCTGGACTGTGGGAATCGAGTACTTCTCACTAAAAAGAACTGAAAAATGGTGGTACAAAGCTAGATCTAGATCACGGCCACCCAGGGAGGGGTTAAATGCAGAAGCTAGAACCTGATTAAAAATATATATTATTCTCCTTTCTTCCTTTTAAATTTTTGCTTATTGTTCCTTACTTTCCAACAAAAAAATTAATTAGAGCCAAATTAAACATTTTATGAGAGTAGAAGTCAAATAAGCATGGCTTTTTATAAAAGAGCCCGGGCTTTTATTTTTTAGACCCAGTCCAGATTTTATTTCATACCATCTACGGCTAATTCTGGGCAAGATTAACCTACATGTCTTTAATTTAATCTTTGAAAGAATAAGGAAGAGAAGAAAGGGAGAAATAAAAAAATAAACAAAACAATGATTAAATTAAAATGACAGATAATTTCGTTTTAAAACGTTTATTAAAATAATGAAAATAGAAAAACCTTGATTTTGTTTTTGTACATTCGGCAAATATTTGCTTGTAAGGCCTGATGGCCCATGTCGATAAATACTATTATTTTACCTGGGTCAATAGAGGTTTCCTTTGTATCACCTTCTTGTGTTTTGACAAATAAGATTTTAATTTAAAATTTTTAAAACAATAAAAGACCGATGGCTGGTTATAAATTTTTTTTTAATGTACATTCAAGTAGGTTATGTAAATGTTAGACATAATATACACTAAATCAAATAAAACAAACATTACATTATTGTTGCTTTCCAAGTCTGAACTAACAACGAAAATAAACATATTATTTCAAAGCCCATTTAAAAAAACAAATTCAATTTTGTTAACTCACAAAAAGAAATTGGTAGTATAGTGAGATCTTGATATAATCAATTGGATTGCAAACCCTTTTAACTTATGATTTTCTCAAAATATATTTTGTTTGCATTAATATAATGTATTCTATATATTGTAAAGGCTCATAACCCCATACAGTTGCTTTATTGTATATAAATTTTTTAAATTTAAACAAAAATTTGTATACACTTTAAAATTCTAAAGGAGTCAAAAACAGCATATCGGATCGAATCAGGTTAGATATTTAGCGTTCTTAAAAATATAGGATAAAAACCGAACGTTTATTTTACATTATTTAAATATTTCAAAATTTTATCTTTATAATAGAAAGGTTTTTAATTTTTTTTACAAATAACAACTAGTCTGTTTTATATACTTTAGGAAAGGATCTTGAAATTTTTTTTAAGCTGGCTCTGAGTTATGGAAATTATTTATAAAAAGTAGAGAATTTTTAGGGGATATAGATGGTTCTCATAGTAGAATTTTATTACCAGAAAATCTAAAATAACCAACATAAAGTGTTGTGCATTCGTTTGTAAAATTATTTAACTTGTAAATTTTAAAAAGTTTTCGCAAGTCAAATATTTTAATTTTCAAATAAATTAATAAATATGGTTTTAAATTACATAACACTGTATATGGGGAATTCCATGTTTGGGACTTAATTCTCCTTCTTAATTCTAATTATCTTTGGATATAATTGAACTAAAAGCGTCATTTAAATTTTTTAATAGCACAATAGTGGGCCTTTAAAATTATATGTTAAATATTGTAAAAAAAATTTACGTTAAGAACCGGAAATGGTCATAAAATCAAATCTTTGATATTTTTTTTTTATGAATAGCTACAAAATTAATAAATAAATGCAAATAAAATTTATGTATTGCAAATTCAATAATTTTCACAATATGGAAATAATTAAACTTTAATTTCATTTTCTCTAATTGGCATAAAAGTGAAACTTTTGTATTCCGGGAATGGGTTTGACCTTTTGAACAAAATATTTTTTCTTTCATTTATATATGCGTAATTAATTCATGTGATATTTGCTTTATGAAAATTAAATCTAATGTCTATAATATTTGATTCTCATATGAATGCAGAAGGTGTAATGTTTGACATGGGATATTATAAATAATTTATTTTAAACGTCTGATCCAAGCCGGCTTAGCCCTAAATTCAGCTTGTTTTTGTCAAAAATTGACTGAGGCTCAAGCCAAAAGGAAGATCTCATAATTAAAAAAGATCTACGACACATATTGCATCGATATGGCACTCTTGTTTTTTTCTACCCGCATTATGAAATTGGAAAAAGTATATTGTATTCCTGACGATAATAATTGTTATTTAGGCAAAACTCATTCACAAGTTGCTACCTACTTTAAGAATATTCATTTTAAAAAAAAGACTATAAAGATATTTAGATAAATAATCTTTCTTTAACTCAACATTTTATTTCTTTATTTTTTCATAGAATTTGATGTAAATATTAATTAATTTTTTTTATTAAACATTTTTAAAGGTGGTTTATATTAATATTAAGTATTATTTATGAATTTTTAAATGTGGTTTTTTTAATATTAATATCAGATAGCAGCAGAGGTAATTTGCATGACCCGAATTTTTAAAATATTAAACAATCTTTTAGCAAAATCTTTTATAATTTTTTTTATCATCTTTGTAAAATTATCTATTTTTTTAGTATATTAAAAGATGTGGTTTTTTCTAAATAATTTTTTTAAAAATATTTATATCTCTTTTATGTTATTTTATATGATCTTTTTAACGAAAATATTTTAATGTGACAATTGTCATATTCGTTATTTTTAAACATTTTTGAAATTTTTTGACACAAAAGGGTAAAATAATATTTATATTGTAAAGATGTTAAATTATAAATTCAATTATGATGTTCCTTGGGAAATTGGCAATTACCATAATCGATATAACATATTAGATTTTTTTGACGCTAATGGATAAAAATATGTATTTTTAACATGTTAAATTAAAATTTCAATTAAGATGTAACATATAAAAGTGACAATTGTCATAATCGTTATTTTTAAATTTTTTTTATGTAAATGGGCTAAAATAAGTATTGCTAACATGTTTAAATAAAACTTTAGTGAAGATGTACCAAGTGACAATTGTCATAATCGTTTCTTGAATATTGATTTTTTTTGACGCAAATGGGTATAAATATAAATTGTAAACGTGTTAAATTAAAATATCAGTGAAGATGTACTATAGAGAAGTGACAATTGTCATAATCATATTTTTTAAGGTTTTTGTGAATTTTTTTGACGAATGGGTTAAAATATAGATTGTAAACATATTAAATTAAAATTTCATGAAAATGTACCATGGGAAAGTGACAATTTTCATAATCGTTATTTTAAGTTTTTGGAATTTTTTTGACGCAAAAATGGGCAAAAATATAGATTGCGTACATGTTAAAATAAAACTTCAGTGAAATGTATAGATAAGTAGCAATTGTCATAATCGTTATTTTTAAAGTTTTTTGACCCAAATGGGTAAAAATATATTCTAAAAATGTGAAATTTAAATTTCATGAAGATGTAGGAAACTGACATTTGTCATAATCGTTATTTTTAAACATTTTTGAAATTTTTTGACACAAAAGGGTAAAAATAATATTTATATTGTAAAGATGTTAAATCATAAATTCAATGAAGATGTTCATTGGGAAATTGGCAATTATAATAATCAAAATTTTTAAACATATTAGATTTTTTTTGATGCTAATAGACAAAAATATGTATTTTTAACATGTTAAATTAAAATTTCAATTAAGATGCAACATATAAAAATGACAATTGTCATAATCGTTATTTTTTAAGTTTTTAAAATTTTTTTGATGTAAATGGGCTAAAATAAATATTCCTAACATGTTTAAATAAAATATTAGTGAATATGTACCCTAGATTAGTGACAATTGTCAAAATCGTTATTTTTGAAGTTTATTGAATTTTTTTGACGCAAATGGATATAAATATAATAGGTTGCAAATTGTCACTTTCCTACATCTTGATGAAATTTAAATTTGACATTTTTACAATATATTTTAACCCATTTAGGTCAAAAAAATACAAAAAATTTTAAAAATAACGATTATGACAATTGCTTCTTATCTATACATCTTCACTGAAGTTTTATTTTAACATGTACGCAATCTATATTTTTGCGACAAAAAACTTAAAATAACGATTTTATGACAATTGTTACTTTTCCATGGTCATCTTCATGAAATTTTAATTTAATATGTTTACAATCTATATTTTAATCCATTCGTCAAAAAAATTCGCAAAAACTTTAAAAATGACAATGTCACTTCTATATGCTACATCTACATGAAATTTTATTTAACATGTTTACAATATATATTTTTACACATTTGCGTTGAAAAAATTCAAAAAACTTTTAAAAAAAGGATTATGACAATTGTCACTTTTCTATATATAGTACATCTTCATGAAATTTCAATTTAACATGTTTACAATATATATTTTTACCCTTTTGCGTTAAAAAAATTCAAAAAAACTTTAAAAATAACAATTATGACAATTGTCACTTATCTATAGTACATCTTTACTGAAATTTTAATTTAACATGTTTACAACCTATATTTATACCCATTTGCGTCAAAAAAATGAAATAAACTTAAAAAATAATGATTATGATTATAACTTATCGGGTACATCTTCACTGAAGTTTTATTTAAACATGTTAGCAATACTTATTTTTGCCCATTTACATCAAAAAATTTTAAAAATAACCATTATGTAAACATGTTAGCAATACTTATTTTAGCCCATTTACATCAAAAAAAATTTAAAAACTTTAAAAATAACGATTATGACAATTGTCACTTTTATATGTTACATCTTAATTGAAATTTTAATTTAACATGTTAAAATACATATTTTTGTCCATTAGCGTCAAAAACAATCTAATATGTTTAAAAATATTGATTATGATTGCCAATTTTCCAAGGAACATCTTCATTGAATTTATAATTTAACATCTTACAATATAAATATTACCTTTTTGTGTCAAAAAGTTTCAAAATAACGAATGACAATTATCACATTATAATATTTTCCTTAAAAAGATCATATAAAAAAATAACATAAAAAAGTTTAATATAAATATTTTTTAAAAAGTTATTTTAAAAAAACCAATTCTTTTAATATACATAAAAATAGATAATTTTACAAAGATGATAAAAAAACTATAAAAGATTTCATCTAAAAGATTGTTTATTTATAATAAAATTCTCAAAAAATTTCCTCAAATACAAAGAAAATTTAAAATTTTTATCATATGTTCAAATATCTTTTTCAAAAGATTTTTTTGCTTAATTTTGGGCATGTCATGAAAATCACTAATTGTAATAAAAATAATACAATAGCAGCATATCATATTAAAAAAACATTAAATAAATAAATCTATTTTCATAATATAATTATTTTCATAAAAATATTTATTATATTCTTTTAAAATATTTAAATAAATAAATTTTGGCTCAAAATTAGACTCGAGCCTACTCATTAGCCGGCTTGAGCCAACTCCTGAGCAGGCTTGAGCCAACTCATGAGCCGGCTTGAGTCTAAGCCAATTTTTCGGCTCCAACCTAACTCGGCTTTTTAACAACACTATATCAGATCGGTTAGCCCTAATTTACGATAAATTAAAATAAAATTTTTTAAAAAAATTTAAAACTCTATGCT